TAAGAGATGGGCTGACATAAATCAGATTCTCTTACATTTTTCTAAGGCAAAAATTCACTCTTTATCAGACTATTACACTATTCTATAATGATATAAAAAAGAAGAGAGGTGATTCATATGTCCTACAATCCTAGAACACATGAAAAATCTGCCATCATGGCGAACAGGTAGTAGTGTACTTGAAGCCTGTGACCACATCACCAACAGGTGCTCGTGTGGAACTGTTTCCCATCTCCTATCACCTATGAATGAATTCTACATCCTTTCTTCCACTAAGTTATGGAACATCTAACTCTGCCTGGCATTGGTGCATGTGACATGCACACATTGTCAACTTATTCACTATTGACTAGAAAAAGCAGATACATAAATAACTAGCTATCTTTTATACACATAGTGGAAAACATTCCAGTGGCTTCCATTCAGCAGGGACCAGCAATTTGACAGGCTCAATGAGGTATTAACAATCCCCTAATGAGGATACCAACTGTCAGCACAGGAAATATTAAAACAGGGAATAGACATTTTCAATTTAGTTACTGATTTCCAGAATGTGCTTGGCAAAGCCCACTCAGCATCTTTGTGTCATGCTAAGGCCCCTACTTTGAAAACTTCTCTGGTTCCTAATTGCCTACATGGCAAAATTCTCACTTGTGTCAGCATTGAATGGTGGGATGGTGCTATAATTAACAGTTTAAGCTCCAGGGTCAGTTGCTCTGATTTATCTGCTATGTGGAGGGTAACATGGTTGGTTTCTTCTCCTGAAAAATGATCACAAAAGTAGGACCTACTCATAAGGTTTGGAAAATCTTAAATGAGATAGTCTAGGTCAAGTGTTCAACCTACAGTAAATGTAGAAATAATACTGGTAGAGCAAGTTGAGGTAATGATAAAATAATAGAGAGATAATAATTCTAGTTCTTGGCTTTCTGCAATCAAATACAATGTCATATTAATGTATCTGTGTGCATATAGTTATGTATATATTGTGTATACACATATATGTTATATATATATTCATGTGTATATATGTATACGTAATTTTAATTATACAATTGTCTTAGTCCAACTTTGGGGAGTTTTTGAACATTTTTATTAGCATATATTAATTATATAAAATAATGGCTTTCATGCATATTCACCCAGCATTCACACCTCCCATTGCCTTCTCTTGTCTCCCTTGCTACCTCCCAGTACTCTCCATCTTCTGTTCAATTACTTCCTCTTCTACTCTCATTTCTTTTTAAAAATCTTGATTATACATAGGAGAGGAATCGTGTTATTTGACTTTCTGAGTCTGACTTATTTTGCTTAATATGATGATCTTCAGTTTCACCCATTTTCCTGCAAATGGGTGGAACTCATCGTTTTCATGTACCACATTTTCTTTATCTATTCTTACATTATAAATCATCCTGCAATAAACATGAGAGTGCAGGTGTCTCTATCATATGCTGACTCTGATTCCTTTAAATATAACTCAGGAGTGGTACAGTAGGATCACATGGCAGTCTGTTTTTACTTGTTTGAGGAAACCCCATACTGATTTCAATAGGAGCTGCATGAATTTATATCCCCACCAATAGTGTATAAGGGTTCCCCACATCCTGGCCAGCATTTATTGGGATGAGATGGAATCTTAAAATACTTTTGATTTGCATTTCCCTGATGGCAAAAGATGTAGATTTTTTTTTCATGTATTTATTAGCCATCTATGCTTCTTTTGAAAGCTATGCTCATTTTATTGGATTATTTATTATTTGTTGTTTAATTTTTTGAGTTCCTCATATATTCTGGAGATTATACCCTGTTGGATGAATAGCTGGGAAAGATTTTCCCCCATTCTGTAGGCTGTCTCTCTTCGCTCCTGTTTCCTTTACTGTGCATCTATTTTTGAATTGATTTTTGTGTAGGATGGGAGATAGGGATCTAGCTTCAGTCTTCTACATGTGGATATCTAATTTGCATAGCACCATTTGTTAAAGAGGCTTTCTTCTCCCCAGGATATGTTTTTGGGACCATTGGTTGAGAATCAAAGGGTTGTTGCTGCATGGGTTTATTTCTGGGTCTCTATTTTCTTCCATTGACTTACCTGTCTGGTTTTTTGTGACAGTAACTTGGTTTATTTTCTGTTGCTGTAACAAAGTCCGTAAGGCTTTGTATTTTTATAAGGAAAAGATGTTTATTTAGCACACCATTCTGGAGGATAAAAGTGCAAGATTGAGCAGTCCCATCCGTTTATCCTCTGGTGGGTCCCTCATTATGGATGACACCACAATGGCTGGAGCTTGGGTGGAAGAGACCATAGGGCTAGAAAAGAAACCAGGAATATTCAGAGACTATGGTAACTCTTTATAACAAACTGTTTTCATGGGAACTGACTCACTCCATGAAACCAGCATTAATTAACTCACTAGACCCACCTCATAAATGTTCTACTTTCTCCCATCACCACCACGTTGGAGAACAAGCTTACAGTGACATGAGCCCTTGGGGGACCACTCAAACTATACACAAGCCACTGTGGCTTTCATAGCATGGAATGACATTTCTTCTATTTATATGATATGGATGACTTAACTTTGCTTCAGTTTTCCATCTCCATTCTGAGAATAATGAGTACCTACCTGCAATTTTATCTTAAGGATTAAATGACATGAAATATGGCATAACTGGTAAGTGCTGAATATGTACTAATTTTCAAAAAAAACTTTTGCATAATGTCTTTTGAGAGAAAATTATCTCTATTTCTACAGTAGTAGTCTTAAAATGACTTAACAGGTTTCAATGTTCCATATTCATACATGTGTAGAAAATACACTGACCACATTCACATCCTTTACCCTCTGCACTTCCCCTTCCCTACTAATGCCCTTCCTTTACCATGACATGTTTTACCTCCTGTCTTTCATTGTTTAAGAGTCTGCTCGTTGTGCAGTGGGGTTTTGCCTTAGTATTTAACCTGTGAGTATATTGCACTTTAATCAGTCTAATCCCCTCTACTACTCTTCCTTACCCTTTTCTCCCTGCCCTGTATACTTCTAAGTCATAAAAACTGTCTTCTGACAGTCCCCTGGAGTTTGCTAAGTTCAAACAGATTTGAGGGGCATACATAAAAAGAGACACAAATAGCTTCACTTCTAAGACTAAGGCACAATTTTCATAGTGTGAAAATCTTCCCGTAGAAAGCCCAGAAACTCTGACTTATTGTTATTGAAGTTGAAAACATCACAATCTACTCTGTCACAGTCACTTTCAATGAAAACTACAATTTATGATAAGTTCCATAAAGCTTGCTTAATTCAACATTTATGAGAAACATCGAAGATAAATGAAAGGTATAGAAATGGAAACCTTTCCAATCAGTCATTTTGTCAAGAATAAAAGACAGGAATGATAGGCATCCACACAGACTCTACATGCATATAAATAATTTACTAAAAATAAAAAATTAAATAGTTTTATAAATTAGCCCAGGTAGTCTCAGGTCCATAATATAAAACATAATTCAAGTGTACCCATGAAATATCAGATGCCCTTGTTATTCAACATATATGAACAGAGGTCAGGTTAGGGTTTGTGGAACCAAGAACCGTACACATACCTTCCAACAGGAATAAAAGAATGACAACAACACTGACTTCGCAAGGCTAGTGCAATCGCCTCTCTCTCCTCCTTTAATTGCCATGGTGAATTGCAACATTTACCATTTATTTAAGCCCCTGAAGAAGCAAGTTGGATAGCTGCACACATTGTTACAAATGAGTTAATACTGAAATGCAAAACAACACAGGCAAAGAAGAGAGTAATTTTATAGAGCAAGTAGGAAGGAGGTCACAGTTTTTGGAATGTCCTGTGTTTTAACTCAATGCATAGAGTAGGTACAAGAAACCAGGCCATTCTCCATGGGGAAAGAGATGTGCTTTGCCCTGTAATAAGCACCTTGGTCCTGAGGGAGCTCTTGTGAAGCATCAGAGATTGGCTTCTCTGTACAGATATTTCCTGACTTGTGATAATTCTACTTATGACTTTTTATTTTACTTTACCGTGATGCAAAAGCAATATGCATTCAGCAAACACCATTCTTGATATTTTGAGCCTTGATCTTTTCCAGGCTAGTTATATGTGGTGCAGTCCTCTCCTGTGATCCTGCCATACTTCATAGCACTATGAAGCTACAACTCCCAGTTGGCCATGTGACTGTGAGGGCAAGAACAGCTGCTCTGCAGTGTGCTGGGTCACTCAGCTAGGATGTTTGGTAGGTTAGCAATGTTCAATGAATGCTTGCCTTACAATATTTCCAACTTAAGATGGGTTTATCAGTACATAACCCATCATGAGTTGTGGAGCACCCGCTGTATTCATTTTCCAAAGAACACTGGGAAGGATAAATTGCTTGCAGAGTAGCCCTATAAGTTTCCTAAGTTAAATTATTCTCTTTCAGTAAAGCTTTGGTTTTTCACACTCTCAGTCCCTTGGGTGACTCCGGTGAGTATTGCAGTGCTTGGGGCAAAGGACTGCATGGATTCACACAACCCTACCTGCCAGGGTTCCCCCAGTCGGGGGGTGCTTGAACTTATGACATCTCTAGGCATGTGTCCTCAAGCATCTGTGTATTTAAATCTTCACGATGCTAAGGTTTCACCAGCAGGAGAAATACCGCCTGTCCTTTCTCCTATATGATTCTCCCTAAGAATTATCTCTGCTGAATCACCAGTAGGCTTAGAAAATCTTCCTACTGCCCTGATCCCTTGCCAAAATGATTTTTTAAATTTTATTTTTGGGTCCCAAGATGAAAAACAAATAAATCCAATATTTGCTTTTTGACTTTCAAATCAGTGGTTCTCTAGAACAAGTCCCTACTGGATACAGAGAGATGGTTTTATGTATGTTCTTCCCTTCTTATAAAACAAGAGAAAAGGATGGCTGTCTACTTGACCACGCTTTTGGACTCATACAGAAGGGACTGATCTTTTTCAGATGCAGATTAAATCCCTTACGAATCTGAAGAACAGTGCCTCGATACACATACGCTGCTGCAAGCAAGGTGCATGCTGACTGGGAGAGCAGATCTCATGGCATGATGCCTGTAGACAGACGAATGAATGAACCCTTACAACACCTGAAAGACAAGATAAGAAGGGAGAAAGTTATTCAGGAACAGTACCTGCACTAACTTATCAGTCACTTGAGAATCAAAGATGTCTCATTTTGCTTCACTTTCCTCAACAAATTTACAGTGTATCTGCCTCCAAAGACGAGATACTTATGTCACAGGAAGGGGTTAGCGCTTACTAACACTTCGTATGCTACCCACAGCAGAGCTTCTTGCATTTTGAAAAGACTCAGTACTGTAGTGAAAATTAAGCATTCTAGGGGTTAATAACTTATGATGACCGCACGATCAGGTCTATATACAGTGTGTACATGTAGTTTCAGAATTTCTGATGTTACTAACTGCACTACTATTTTTAAATGTACAGTTAAGTGATTTTACTATGCTCACAGAATTGTGTAATAATGATCATAATTTCAGAACATTTCATCACTACAGGAAAAGCCACTTACTCATTAGCAGTCACCCCTCATCATCCCTGTCTCAATCCCACAGCCCTAGGTAAACATTAATCTATTTTCTGTCACTATGGATTGTCCTCTTTTAGAAATGTAATATAAATGAAATTATACAGTACATGATCTTTCTGATTAGCTTCTTTTCCTTCTAGTATTCTCAGTGTTCATCTGTGTTATATCACATATCATCCCATTGTTCCATTTTCATTGCTGAATAATGTTCCATCTGGGGATTTAACACATTTTGCTTATATTATGAGTTGATGTAAATTTGGAATGTGTACCCTTTTAGTTATACCAATTAATGCTACTATGAACATCTGTATATGATTAGCATGATTGTATTTTTTTTTCTTTTCTTGGTTAGAGTTAGAATTGCTAAGTCATGTGGTAATGCCATGAATAACCTTTTGAGGCCATTACTTTATGAAAAATAAGAAAAGACCTGAAAGTATGAGTCTGTCATTTGGACAGAAATGTGGTCTTAGACCCAATTCTGGTTTAAACTGAAAATGAGAGTGTATTCATCTTCGTCTATACACAGAGAGAGGTGATTAAGTTCAAATCTCCAAATCTGAAAAATGAAATATTTTGGCAATGCTCAATGAATTACCCATGCTAAGTTTTTCTTTTTTTTTAATGTTACTTAAAACAGGTTTGGGGAGGTTTGTTTGCTATAATTTGAATTTAAATAATTTCTGTGACAGTAACCAAAGAACCATGAAATTTCATTTCAAGCCAGCTTTGTTATTAAATTGACAGTGCTGCATATGTATATGGCTCCTCTCCTTACAAAATCCTCTGCACCTGTCCACCATCTGCGGCCAGTTTACTGGACCAAAAAGGATGGATCAATTCTAAGTATTCATATGAAATCTCCTTTTGAAGCTTCCCTTGATTTGTATTTGCCAGCTAACATACTGTAAATATCATTGCTCCTTTTGGTTTTTGCAAAAAAAATAATCTATGTGGATAAAAGACAATTTCCTGGACACGCTGATTATTCTCTATTGGCCAATAAAACAAGAGGATTTATTATGTCCAAATAACATGGGTGTGAGTGCTGATGGTTCATTTCTTCTGTTTTCACATTGGCTAGATTTGGCTCTCTGAATAGTTTTATCTTGACACTTATTGCATTAATGATTTCTCCTTATGACAGGGAAGGGATTTTTATTGTCCTCTTTTTCTTGCAGTATTCTTTGTCATGTACACCATTTAAATTCCCAGGTTCCTTCACCTAATTTCTTTCATAAGTGTAAATTTAATATATCTGCTTAAGCAGTGAATTCACTGATTAACTAGGCTTACTTCTTTTAGTCATGTTAAGAAAGATGATACACTTAAAAGATTGTTAAAGGTCTAATTTCTAACAGTGACCTGAATAAACACTTTGAACAAGTCAAACATATTTTGTGATTAAAAAATTCTAGAATTTGTAACTAAAGTTGTACAAAGTTATAACCAAAGTTTATGTATTATTCCTGTATTGTCTCCTCATTCAGCTTCTATCTATTAGTATGTGCCTTATCATTTTTATTTGCCTATAAACTGATTTCTCCAGTTCTCATCTGTTGGCAGAAAAACTCAAATTGCATTAATAGAAATGTCAGAGCTATAAAATATCCCTCAATAGTTTATTTCTTTCAATAGTATACAATACTCCTGCTAATGTACATAAATATTGCCTACTGTAAACCCAGCACAGGGTTGCCAAGCATATCTCCGTTAACTCTGCCATGCTCATAGCAGACATTGCTTCGACTCTTTCTCAAAGTTGTATGTGAGGCAGGCATTACCAAAGGTTTGAATCCATTTGAGCACAATCAGACATGATTTTATGAATTTGGTAATATATTTGTAGTTAGCACAGAAGCTGCAAGAATGAATGAATTTGCATAATTTAAAGAGATTTAGAACTCTTCTCTGAAATCTTTAGGATGAGACTCTGAAAACTTCTTTCTTTGACTAGAAATGTAGACTAGTACCCAAAGCTATAGCCAAAAAAAAAAAATGCATTGATTCTGAAGCTAGTAGCCAAAGTAGACATGGAGTCTACATCCAGGACTTATTAAGCAGCAGCAAAATAGGATTTAGTATCTCCCACTGATCAAGCCAGCCCTGCCCCTCAGATTCTATAATGGCATTGAACAGGGAGTCATTAAACCTTAGTTTGAGAGAGGATGCTGTGTGTTTTCCCACCTTATCTGTAGGACAATGGAGGAGGCACTCTGTGCCCTTTAAGGAAACCATGCATGTAATTAGAGAGGGCACCAAGAAAAAGAGAAAGGCATCTAGTGGCTTCATTGGACTTCTGCTTAAGCAAAGGATTTGCTGACCTGCCTGGGGCCTCTGTAGACAGGGCAGAAGAGAGTCTAAGAGAAATGATGAGGTAAAGAAAAGGGATCCTGGTATACAAGGTGAGTCACTGGGTTAAAAGGAGATGGATGGTGAATGAATTCTATTAGGAACTTAACCATCTGCATCAAGGAACCAACACATAAGCAAGCTCTTCAGGGTTCCATAATCAAGTGAATATACTCCAGGCGAGAGCCAACATGGCAGCAAGACCTTAGCTCCACTGTGGGCCCATGAACAACAGGCCAAGCTTAAACTAGAAAGGAGAGGAGATAAATTGTGTTGACTAGACTTGATAATAAAGTGATGAGTGGAAAAGAGAATAGTGTACCTAACAGCCAAAAGCTGGCCTAGTTTTAGCAGCTAGGCCTTTGTGTTGCTGCAAGTTGGACTGTTTCTCACAACTAAAGCATGCTGTCCTCCTATTATACATAAACGATTTCATGGAGCATCAGCATCAGAGCAGGCCGCTCCACAACCTTGGTACACAGAGACAGACGAGCTGCTTCATGATTCTAAGCACAGGCAAAAACAAAGTCACTGTGCAAACCATGAAGACCCAAACATTCTGCCTCCTGGTAAGATGAGTGGCTTCTGCTTCTTTATCAAGGACAGCTTTGGCCCTGCCCAGTTCTAATGCCTGCTAAGGGTTAAGCACTGGAAACTAATCTCCAATGCAAAGTGTTGGGAGGAGGGGGCTAAGGAGGTATTTAGATCATGAGAGTTCCACTATCAGAATGGATTAACACTGTTTACAAAAGGGCTTGAAGCTACAAATTTGACCTCTCACTCTTGGTCTCACTCTCTTGCTCTTCTGCCTTTTGTCATGGGATGATGCAGCAAGAAAGTTCTCACCAGTTGTGGTCCTTCAATCTTGGACTTCCCAACCTCCCAAACCATGAAACAAATAAGTTTCTGTTTCTTGTATCTGACTGGCTCTGTGATATTCTGTTGTAGCAGCACAGAATGCAGTGAGATAACACACTAACCTAAAATTACCTCTTCTTTCTAATAGTTACCAACAGAGTGCAAACCCCTCTTTCTTCCAACTGTTTTAAAAATCACAAACTCTTTCTAAAACCAATGCAGACAGCCCAAATCCTGTAGCAAATTCATTCTAACACCCTCCTGCTGGGATAGCTCACAGTTCCCCGTGGCATGTGTTCTCTGTCAACACAACACCAAGTAATAATCACAAGTCATCAACTGCAAATGCATCCCTGGTGGTATTTGGCTAGAAATCGTTGACAGGAAAGTTATGGTCCAGCCAGAGATTGTCCTAAAGTATAGGAGATGTTTGACAGCACAGAGTTGAAGGCATTTACTGGAGAAAATTAAACTACTTCATGTTGGAGCCCTGTCCAGTTCATACTGTCCTATGAGCTGGTTACAGTCTGCTGACACTAAAGAATGTAAGAACAAACTCCAGTGTACAAATTTCACGTTGGTCATGACCAAGTTCATTGAATGTGGCCAGCTGTGGTTTATTAATGTATGTGAACTGCTACAAAATATTTTCTGAAAATGAAATTTAGTTTGGGAACATTCTCAAAGCATAAACACATGTACCCTTCATGAGCCAGGGTTTTATTTCTTCCAACCTGAGTGTTCCTCAGACCCCATTTCTATAACGCATGAAATGAATGTTTTACTTGACTTGCTTTAGTATATATAAATGTACAAAACATACTTAAAATTAAGTCTGCAAAAGAAATTAAAATAATAAAAATTGGAAGGGCCGGGCTGGCAGGAAATTGTGGCCAGTTTGATGCAACTTGACCATTATATAGAGTAACCTTCAAATTCTCATTCCTATACTTCCTATCTGCTTCCTATAAGTGGGTGGGTAAGTAAGTAAATATTAAGGTTAGCTTAGCTAGAATGTTTTCCCTGCTTTTTTTTTTTATAAAGACTGTTAGAATTCTTTCTGACATTCAGTCTAGTACTTACCTTCACTCTAACCCTCTACTCCATCCCTCAGGCCCCAATCTAAAACGACTTCAATATCAAGAAATAGCAGACTACACAATGTCATCACCCCAAATAGGACATTTCTTCCCCATGCCTCCTGACCTCTACTGTTTCTTCACATTACCCCTAAAATATATGTGCAGAGTATATAATCCTGCCTCTTAAATTGTAAGAGCCAAGATCTCTCTCCTATGTCTTATTTGAAATAGAAATTGCAAAATCTACCAAACTTTAACTTGATGCTCCCCATATCCTTTCTATAAGACAGAAAAATTTTGAGATGATGGATTTGTGTCAAGAAGAGAGGCTTTTTCTTGACAAAGTTAAAATAAATTCGTCAATATAACTGAATTAAGATAGTCAAAAATCATTGAAAACCAACCTCAAATTCTCTTTGAAATGACAGTAGATATGAATTAAATGACAAAGATAGCAAATGAATAAATGACTAGAAGGGTGTCCAGAAGCAAGCTTATGCTTTATAATACCATTTCTTGACATTAAAATTCAGTAAATCCTATAATTTTTAATCCTTCATTTATAATACTGCTTTCCTTTTTTTGAAGAAGAAGACAAATAACCCTAGAAAGTAAATATGCATTTAAAAAAGTTAATTTTCCCTCCCTTCTGATTTGCAGACTTTCTAAAAAAAACTCAAAGAAATTAAACCATTGCCAGCTGAAGTTCTTTTATCTATCCTCATAATAGATAATGAGCTAAGAGTTCACATTACATATTTTGAGGATACAAAAAGTGTTTTCTTAAACCAAAAAGGAGGCTACAAACTGTATGATTCCACTTGCATTAGGTATCTGGAATGGGCAAATTCAGAGAAAGAAAGTACAGTAGAGGTTAGTAGGGACTGAGCAGGGGTGGGAAGGGAGGGGATGATAGCATGGTAATTTCTTTGTTGCATAAATTTTATCACAATATGAATCGATAAACAAAGAGGCAAATGAATACATAAATAAATGATTGAAAGTAAAATGTGCTTAGAAATAGAAGACACAGCTTCCCTCCTTCCCTTCAATTAAAAGGAAAATAGACCATCAGTGAACACCTATCCCAGTGCAGATTGCTCATAACTCTGAGGCCGCAGGCTTTCACCTCACCTATGAAATGCTGGGCTAAAACGCAGAAGAGTAATTCCACCTGGAAGCGTCCCTCAGTGAAGGCAGAGAAGAATCTGAATGACTCCACTCACCTTCACCCAGTGAGGGTAACTCCTGCTGTGTGTGACACTGGCTCCCAAAGTTCCTTACTGAGAATGACTTCTGGTGGCCTGCAGTGGTAGAAACTACTCGATAATTGTCTCCTTCCTTGTCCCAACTCCTTACTCATGTTTCGTAAGGTCACCTCTCCTCTCACATATAATCTGCACTTAACTCTTGATGCTGCTCTGAAAGTTTGGAATGTGCGATTGGGATTTGAAGATGCAGGGATGGTTCCCAGCACACACCTGAGGGACCTGCCTGGCAGGTGAGCAGACCTTGAGTTGCCTGGAGATCAGCTTGCCTTCCTGAAACCAGGAGGTGCTTTCAGATGTGGACCAGAGAGAGGGGATCATTTTAAGAGCCATCTTTCCTAAAGAGAAGAAGTGAGTCCAAACCAATGGTGCTCCACCAGAAATCAGATGCAAGAGAATAGTTGCATCTGAAGTTGGTGATACTTTTATTGCTGGAATTTACAAGATTCTTAAAGAACTCACAGAGATTATCAAGGCAAGATGGTACTAAAACCTCCTAGGAAGACATTTTCTGACCTTGAGTCCTTTCCTCCTGTTCCTGCGCTGGAGAAATGAGAGCTAGGAAAGGGACTTTGGTTTGGAAAAGGAACATGAGCTGGAGCAATTAGGAAGGAGCTAGGAGTGACTTCCCCATCTCTCCATCCTACCCCTATGGCAAGTTTGTGATTCCATAGTAAGTCTGAGAGAAAGGAGGGAAGATTTTAAGCCTCATGAGAACCTGGCATATTTAGATAGGATGAGTGAGAAAATGTGTTAGACTAGGCTGAGATTTCATCCAAAAGCTGGTTGGGAAACCCAAATTAATGAGGAGGGGTGAACAGAAGCAGTTGTAAAATGAATAAACTTACTATCTGCTTCCATTCTGCAGATTATGACTTAGTCAACATACTGGTTGCATAAATATTTTGATATTTTTAAATAGTACAAAAATACATTGAAGATAATATTGAACAGAAATGATAAAAAAACTAATATCAATATTGATTGTGTAATGCTTTGCAATCCCAAGTACAATTGACCCCCTGTAGCTGGGTTCTGCACCCACAAATTTGTCTAACCTCAGACTAAAAACATTTGGAAGCTGGGTGTGATGGCACATGCCTGGAAGCCCAGGTACTCTGGAGGCGAAGGAAGGTAGGGAGTTTGAGGCCAGTGCTAGAAAAGTTTGTGAGATTCTGTTTCAAAAACAAAGTAAAAACCAAAGGGTGGGGATGTAGCTTAAAAGGTAGAGCACTAGCCTAGCACAAGGCCCTGAGTTCAATCCCCAGTATCACAAAAAAAAAAAAAGAAAAGAAAAAAAAAACTTTAAGTTCACATTGAACATGTGCTGGCATGCTTTGGTTTTCTTAACCTAATTCCCCAAACATTTCAAGATAGCAACTATTTACATAGCATTTATGGTAGGTATGATATGATATTGTGTTAGGTATGATTAGTAAAATAGAGGTGATTTTAAAGCATCCAGGAAGCTGTGTGTAGGTTATGTGCAAATGCTACATCCTTTTATATGAGGAACTTGATCTCCACAGACAGTCCTAGAACCTTCCCCACAAAAACACTCGGGGTGACTCAGGTACTAATACTGTAATTTTTGCCATAGATATAGTAAAAGAAAATGAACTGAGGGTTTTTTTTTTTTTGCTGTTTTTTGAACATTTTAGCTTATTAGACTGTAAAATCCTACTCAACAAAGAAAGAATCCTACCTTATAACAAAGCACATGTGATTGGGGAAGCTGAATTAACAGAGAGAAAGCTGATCTCTGTCATGTCGGTAAGTAGAACAGTAATGACCAACTATTTTATTCCATCATTGGGAAAAATAATTCACAATTATGATAAAAACCCTAAAGCCATTGGAAGATCTTGAATTGCTTTATGATTATTGATTGTAAGTTGATTCACAAAGATAATTCTTTGAGAACCAAATCATTTTTAACAATATAAAAGCAAGCTCAGCTGATTTAGTAGAAGCCCCTATTGCCTACCATGATAAGGCCCAGTAGTTAGCAAATTGGAATTGCAGTATGAGCAATGCATAATCTCCTGGTCAGCAAACAAATGTGTCCCTTCCAGAGCCCTCAGCAGCCTCCAGTCTCACAAATGTCATTGATCTTTTTTGGTTTCCCAGATCTCCTTAGTTGGACATCCCTTTTATACAAAGACATTACTAAATGTCCAGCTGAGAATGTCTGCTAATTAATTTCCTTCTTCAATAATAAAGGACCTTTAAAAGGCACGATTTCTTCTTCTTTTTAATTAGATGCAATGATTAAAAAGTATTTTATATTACACAGCACTTTGCTCTAATTGCCTCCATTCCTCACTTGCTTTAATTAATTCTTGTGAAATGATTTAGCATTTTTACCTCTGGGGCTTCGTGAAAGTCTGTGTGTGTGAAGTTGCGTTTGTATAAAAACACACATGTGTCTATCAGTGCTGTAATCCCACTGACTTTGCCCAAGAAGTCTTAAGACAAAAATCCAAGAAAAAATACATTGTACATGATGCAAATATTTTGACCATATCTTTTCATTTTCTGATATGAAGTGTGTTTTTAGGGCTGCTTTCAACATTACTTTTCTCTGAAGCTCCAACCATTTGAAGGGTAAAAGTTTTTAAGGCATTTTAAATCTCTTCTACCATCTTTCCATTTCCAGTCAAGGAAGGATAGATTGCCATTTTGTGGGCTTGTACCAAAGGGCTTTGAAACGCCGTAGCGCTCCACTAACACTTTGCTGACCATTGTCCGCTCTTCCTCACTCTAAGAGGGATGCTGAGTTCGGGGTGCCTAAACTACCGCTAAGGGCGATATTTCCCTCCATCCATCATCTTCATTCTCATCGTCACCAGAAGTCTCTCCCCACGGAGTTTCGAGTTCACGTGACTCGGGACTCTCTCAGCTCTCATCACTGTTAGGAAAAGTTGTTTGCTCTGACGTCTTGAAATGGTTATTATTTGTATCGTGGCCTGTCTACGACAAACAACAAACACAAAGCCCATGATCAACACCATGGCTGACTCAAAGAGGGAAGCTTCTCCCCCATGCATTCTGTAGAAGCACTGATTTCTCATTCTGAACATTTTTGCACTTTATTTTATTCATCCTTGTCATGCCACATACATGTTTTATTCATGTGTACTTGTCATTCTAGGCAAACTAGAAATTCTTCAAAGGAAGGACTCACATCTACATATCTGTCCTCTGCTGGGGTGGTCAGAGGGCACTTGCTCAAAAACACTGAACTAAATTTAATGGTCTCATGGTCAAAGCCTAGGTTTATAAGCAAAAGTCCTTTCCAAAGAGCACGATGACTGCAAAAGTCACCATCTTCTCTTGACTCCCTTTGAGAAATAGTCTTAATGGTATTATTAAATTGCTTTTTACATGTATGATAATCACTGTGTCCTCAGATTGAATCTTTGCTAACACTTGTATGGTCTTAAGATCAGCCTCAGCAAAACCTGGTAGTTGGTTAGCAATGAAAAATCTTGAAACTTACCCCAGACTTACTGAAATATAAGTATTTTTAACAAGATATGCAAGTGATTTGTAAAGACATTAAAGTTTGTGAAGACTTGCTATATGATAGTCCCAGTGTTTTCCACCATAACAGCCTCCACGACTACCACAGTCATTATCACCACCCAGTTACTCTGTCATCACCACCACCACCACCACCACCACCATCACTGCTTTCTGATATTTATTGAATATAAACTCAAGCCATGAATGATGCTGAGCATTTCACACACTTTATCCTATTGAATATTCACAACTACCGCTATTTGGTGAGTGCTACTTTTTCCCAATTATATATAAAAACATGTAATATCTCTTACATAGAGAGTTGAATCACACATACAGTTCTACTGGGCTTAAATATTTACTCTTCACCTCTATATCCCTGTGCCTTTCATTTCAAGTGAGTTTTCAGAACAGTAGCAGAGATGGATCATTCTGAGTGCAAAAACTGTCTAATTGACAGAAGTTGACTTGGAGAAAGAAGCTCTTCTTGCTGTTGAGGTGCCTAATTCACTCCCTATGAAGCCTAGCCTACTATTTTTAAAATTATTTTGTTTTGAGTTTTACCCCTGAGAAACCTTCTATAATAGCTTTCTTAACAAGCTGTCAATTGTTATTTTTGCCTATAGAAGAAAAGAAACACTGAGTTTAGAAACTGTAAATTTTTACAATTTAATTTGTTGAATTATTTAAGAAATTTATGCAGAAAAGGATAGCTTAAAGAAAATCTAAGTTTTCAACCGGACCCAGTTTATATGATAGGATTAAAAAAAATTCTCAATGAATTTGAAGCCCTACGAGGAAAATTATTTAAGATAAAAATTTATGTTTTTCGTGAACTGGAGGACAATTTCATTAGGGAAAGTTAAACAAATTATGCAGAAATGTTTAGAGGGGAAGGAAGTAAGGAGTGGTGGTTAAGAACACTAATCTTGGAATTCAGCCTAGTTTTCATATTGATGGTGTGGCTTTGACCACATTGCGTCCTCTCTTAACACTGGTGTCCATGTTTATAACATAAGAGTAATAAATTCCAGCTCTTACGGACACTATGAAGTATAAGTAAGATTACATCCATGAAAAACATACCTCTCAGAAAATAGTGGACGTAACACTCAATAAATAGTAATGTCTTACAAAGTGGACTTCTTATAAAGCTACCATTTTTTCCTAAGAAAATCTATTTTGTTGTTGTTGTTGTTTTCTTGTGCTCTCCTTTGATCTACAAAGAATTTTGCTTATTCTTTGGTCACTTTGGCAAGAAAGCCTTTTCAGACAATCAAGGTTTTTGGAGTATTTTCATGAACTTTTTTCTTCCTAGATACCACGTATGAGAGAACACATGATATTTGTATTTCTGAGTATGACTTATTTCACTTATCATAATACTCCCCAGTTCCATCTACTGTTTGTGAATGACATTATTCTGTTTTTCCTGATGGCTAAATGATAATCCACTATACATATAAACCGCACGTTCATTATCCATTCGTCTTCTGAGGGGCGCCTAGACTGATTCCACGACTTGGCTTTTGTGCATAGTGCTTCAATAAAACACCCAGGCAGAGTAGCATATGTTTAGCAACACCCTATCTGAAAAGCAAACTAAAAGCAAAAAGATTGAGGGGCGTGGCTCAAGTAAAAAAATGCTTGCCTATCAAGCACAAGGCCTTAAATTCAATCCCCAGTACCATCAAAAAATAAAATAAACACTGGTGTGTGAAAATCTATGTTGTATGCTGACTTCGATCCTTTGAGGTGCACCCAGTATAGGTACAGCAGGATCATAAGGTCCTTCTGTTTTCACTTTTTGAGGAACCTCCATAGCAATTTCCATAATGTCTGATCTAATTTATATTACATTCCCATCAACAGTGTATAAGGGTTCCTTTTGGCCTGCATCCTTACCAGCATTTGTTGTTTGGGGTTTTCTTTTCTTATTTATTCATTTATTCATATGTGCATACATTGTTTGGGTCATTTCTTGATAATCATTCTGACCAAGGTGAGATGAAATCCCCATGTAATTTTGATTTGCATTTCTGATGGCTAAAGATATTGAACCTTTTTTCATGTATCTATTAACCATTTGTATTTCTTCTTTTGAAAGTCTTCAGTCAGTTCATTTATTGATTACATTATCTGTTCTTTTTTGGTTTGATTTTTTCCATGTTCTTTATATATTCTGGGTACTAATCCCCTGCCAGATGAAGAGCTGATAAATATTTTCTCCCAGACACCTCTACATTCTGTTGGGATTTTTCCTTTTGCTGTGCAGAAGCTTTTAACTTGATGCAATCCTGTTTATTAATTCTTGCTATTATTTTTGAGTGACAAACGATATATTCAGAAAGTATTAGCTTATACCTATAGCTTTACTTGTTTACTATATATTTTCCTCTAGTAATTTCACAATTTTAAGTCTTACATTAATGTCTCCAGTCCATTTTGAGTAGATTTTTGTAAAGGGTGAGAGGGATCTAGTTTCAATCTTCCACATGCGGATACCCAGTTTTTCCAGCATCCCTTGTTGAAGAGGACATCTTTTCTTCAATATATGTTTTTGGCTCCTTTGTTGAGAATGATCAGATTAATATAGCTTTTGGGGACTTTTTCCCAGTCTTTTATTCCACTGGTCCAAATGCCTATTTTTGTGCCAGAACCATGCTTTGCTGTGATTACTGGATACTATAATTTGAAATCAGATACTGTGGTACCCCTGCATTGATTTTTTTAAAGCAAGATGTTTTCAGCTCTTCAGGGTCTTTAGTGCTTCTGTATGAATTTTAGTATTATTTTTTCTAGTTATGGTAAGAATGCCACAGTAATTTTGATGATTCCATTGAATCTGTCCATCATTCCTGGTAGTATTGCCATTCTAACAATGTTAGTACAGCTAAGATCACCTTCTAGTTTCTGCTCCAATTTCTTCAGTGTTTTATAATTTTCAGTGTGCAAGTCTTTCATCTCTGTGGGTTTTTTTATTCCTAGATATGTTTAGGCTACTGTGAATTGTACTGTTTTCCTGATTCTTTCTCAGTGAGTTTGCTAATGGTATACAAGATTATTTGTTTTTGTATGTTGGTTTTGTATCCTTCTATTTTGCTAAAAGTGTTTATCAGATGAAAAAATCTTCTAGTGGAGTCTTTAGATTTTTGTAAGGTTAGAATCATATAATCTTCAAACAGAGATTAACTTCTCCTCACTTATTTGTGTCCTTTTTATTATTTCCTCTGGCCTTATTGCTCTGACTAAGATTTCAAGCATGATATTGAACAGAAATGGTGAGAGTGAACACCCTTGCCTCATCCCTGTTTCTAAAGGATATGCTCTCACTTTTTCTCCATTTAGTGTAATGTTGACTATTGGACTGTCATATGTAGTCTTTATTATGTTGAGAGATGATCCTTCCATTTCTAATTTCTTCAAGACTTTTGTCATGAAGTTACATTGAATTTCATCAAAGTCTTTTTCTGTATTTGTTGAGATAATGCCCATGTAATTTTACAACCTACTGATCTTAAAAGCCTGCCTTGAGGTAAGAAGACTGATCAGAAGTGGGGTCATCTCAGAATGGTGCTTTATCACCCTCACTAGGTGAAAGCTCACTTGGATTAATAAAAGCCCTCCTAGATACTTACTCTATTAGTAGTACCATAAGTATGTATTTGTTTTGTTGTCTCTTGGTTATAAAACTTAGAAAATGAAGAAATTTGGGTATCTTTGTTGAAAATTTGATGGCGTTTTCTTGGGTACAATAAGCAGTCGTTCTGTTGTAACTGCCTTGATCTGTTTGTGCTGCTATAACAAATGACAAGAGATTTGTACATTTACAAACATAAGTTTATTTTTCATAGTTCTGGAGTCTGGGAAATCCAAGATGAAGGTATTAGCAGATGTGGTATCTGAAGAATGCTGTTCTGCACTTTCAAGACAGCACCTGTTGCTGTGCCCTCCAGAGGGGTTCAATACTGTGTCCTCACATGGATAAAATCAGGAGGTCAAAAGGGGCTTAGCTAGTTCCTACTATCCTCTTTATAAGTCACTAATACTGTCCATGACAGTAGAGTCCTCACAACTTAATTACCTCTAAATGCACCTCTTACGAATACTCTTATATTGAGGCAAAATTCCAACATGAATTTTGAAGAGAATGTAAACCTTCAAACCACAGTCAAATCTATGTATCATAATAATTGCAATATTCTGTACTGTGGTCA